GGAATCTTGGATGTTGCAGCTGTGCCAATCAGTGGTTGTCTGGCTTGGGTGTTGTCAATGAGCAGATGGAGACTTTATGACCATGAGATCTCAAAGGATTTGGTGAGATGATCCAGGGCTGTACCATAGCTTTCATCTAGATGACTGTCAGTCAGTGCTCTCTCTAGTCAGTTAACTTATGGAATGAATCTCTCTCTCTATAAAGGGAATTTATCCGGATGACTTATAGGCTGTGGTCCAGCTAATCCAACAGTGACTAGCTGTGAATGGAAAGTCCGAGAATCTAGTAGTTGCTCGGTCCTATGAGGCTGGGTGTCTCAGCTGGTTTTCTGTATATGCTGGAATCACAAAGAAGTAGGCACCAGTGCCAGTGAAGGAATGGATGTGCCAGCAAGGTGAAGGCAAGCAGGCAGAGAGCAAAACCTTCCTTCCATGTCTTTATATAAGCTTTCAGCAGAAGGTGTGGCCCATACTAAGGGTATGTCTTCCCGCCTCAGGATCCAGATTAAAGGTGTGTCTTCCTACCTCAAAAGTCTAGACGAGAAGTGGGTTCACCCACTTCAAAATGAGCAGAAAATCTCTCACAGGTGTGCCCTCCATTCACAGGTGGACCTCCTTCCTTATGGATACATGGGCTTTGAGAGAACATTCTGTATTTGAATGTTGCTGGCTGCAGCAGCCCACCCTCAGCCCCAAGTTTCTAGGCCAGACTCACTCCAAATTTACAGGATTATCCTTAGGATGTTGGTTTGGCCATCTAGAAAGCACAGAGGTATATAACTATGAAGAAATCGAATATTGGAGTGACTCAGGTTAAGGCCTCAAAGATAGAAGAAGCAGGAGGTGAATGTGGCTCAGCTTTCCTCTGCAGCCCATGCTTGACTCCTGCTTCCCGGTGTCTTTTTCTCTTACACTTGCTAAGCAGCAGTCCCCGGGCCAGAGGCGATCTGTACTAGCAACCTTTATGTGGATCTTAGCAAATGTGGACATTCACAATTAGGCAAGGGGGGGTTCTGGGATGGCAGATCATAGGGAGAGAAACCTAAAAATAAAATTTACTTCCCGCAGTGGAAAAGATCCCACAGAGATGAAGGGAGGCAAACAAAGAAAAAAAAAAAAGGAAAAAAAAATCACAAAACCATCCTCAGAGGATTAATGTTCTAGTAAACTGTAAGCTGCGTAGATTTTCACCCCATTACCATAATTTTCAAATAACTGCCTCAAGTGATAAAAAGACAATTACTTAGGGCCAGATGCATGGTAGACTGGGTGAGACGCGGTCCCTGTACCATCAGGGGGTTCCTTCACACCCCTTCTCCAAGTCAGTGTGGGGCTGAAAAAGGCTGGGTTAACAGTCCATGGGGATATGTTGCCTCTTTTCCAGGCAACTCTGGATCCGTTCGCGGAGCATCAAGTCTCTAAGGTCTGAGCGGCCCGGAATAGTTGTGGGTTTGCAGCTAGCCATGACTATCTGCTATGTGAAAGCTAGCAAGTCACTTAACCCCCATAATCCCCTTCTTAAATGCCCAGTCATTGCAGACGCACAGGCTTTCCCGGTATAACTGAACGGCCTAGGGATGCAAACAGGCTCCGTTTATGAATTGCCGAGGGAACACCCTTTGGATGCCCGAGACCTTGCACTTCCCCACGGCGCTCTGTTCTCAAACCTCTTTGTATCTGTGTCTCTCTGGATACAGGAAGAGGGGGATGATCAGACCTTCTCAAAAAGCTTGTTCTTGTCTCTTCCAGCCACGGGCCTGTCACCAGCAAGATCCCCAAGCTGGGCTTCCATACAATGGCAGTAGATTACACTAATTTGTTTTTATTTGATGTAGTTAGAATGAAGGCTTTTTGAAAGCACTATGCAAATGTATGCAAATGAGTCCATTTCATGCAAAATAATGTGCTCATAGTTTGCCTGTATTGGCTTAGAAAAATCTGGTGGCCAAAGACTGTTTATATCATCTTAAGAATCAGAAAGAAAAAAAAATATTTGAAGCTTTAGTTACCCTTCCAGTTGAAAAAGTACGGATGCTGAGGGACTGAGGGCTTACTCCCGCAGTTCATCAACTGTATTTCCATTATACTTTTTTGGTCTTCACCAGGATATCTGACATTAGTTAAGCAAAATCTTCCATCTATCAATCACTCAACAATCATGGCATAGGAACATCTTCATAGAAGAAGAGGAAGTTCTGAGACCTTCTTTACAGACCTCCCTGGCAGCTATGAGAGAAGGCATCAGTCTCCTTACCAACATGCATGGGTGGGGCCTGATGCCATTTGAACTAAGTCTCCATACCTGGTCCAACTGAGGCACTAACAACCGCCCACAACCTTCCACCTTGAACCTTCCCCTCTTGCCCTCTTCACGCTACCTCTGTCTTCCCAGGGGTCTGTTCTGCAACATCTAGCATTGTAAACACGCCTGGCAATACTACCCTTCACTCTTCTTTGGACCTTGGATTCTTTCAAATACCAAAGAACACTATATCATAGTTCTTGGTCCAGCTCTCCCACCTGCAAAGAATATTTTGTTGGCTTAGTCTTTAAAAGACATAGAAACTTAAAGCAGGCAGACCTTCAGTGATCCATCACATATCCAACATCCCCACATTCTAGAAGGATAAACTGAGCCTTAGGGAAGGGACTGGACAGTTGGTAGAATAAGAGCCTGAGCATTCTACCTCAATTCTGGGACTCTAGGACAACGGATCATAGTCATGGGTCACATCCATAGGTAATCTATTCCCTTTCAGTCACTGTAACAAGTAAGGCTGGGTTTTATAAATACTACATTGAATAGAAACTAGAGAGGGTGCCAAATTTCTGGAACAAGACCATTCCCTCCAGGGAAATAAACATCACAAAGAAAACACTACTGTGGTGTGCAGCCATCTTTGGATGAATAATAATGATGGTAAGGGCAACAGATGCATGGATAACCCAATCATGGGTAGGGCCCTGAATAACACCTTTTACATTCATCCAGAGCCTGAGTGAGGAGTTCTTAACCCTGCACCCTAAAACTTTTGAGGAGGCTTGAACCATATTCACATTCAGACTCTACTCTGATCCCTTTCCTGGCATGCCAGAAGCTTGGCTTGGGCAGCAATCTTTTGAATGAATTGGGTAGATCTAAGCCACAGAGAGCTAAGGCTAGGTAAGGTAAGGTCTTCTCTGTATCCAGATCTCTTCTGTGTCTTCTGACTCAGTCATCAAAACATACTCCGTTTGGTTCATAGCACAGCTGAGGCCTGGAAGAACTACTTCCTGGGCTAAGCAAGCCAGAGGGACCCAGAACTTCTCTTATCTCTGGTATGCACCAGAATGCTTGCTGTTATTCATCAGTGTATGTACTGGGCATACATTGTGTGTGGTGATGTTCACCTGTAGTCTAAATCCTGGCACTTGGCAAGCTGAAGCAGGAGGCTATCGAGTTGGAGGTCATCATCCAAAGCCACAAAGTGAGTTCTAGAGGAGCCTTGGGCTACACAGGGAGACCCGGCCTCAAACAAAGAAACCACCGCACACTAGCAGTGGGCATGGTGATTTCTTGAACCCTCTGACAGGTTCGACAAGACCTAGGTGGGTAGGTAACATTCAGACTGAGTCACCATGGTACCCATGGAGGATGAGAACAGCAAATCCACACAGAACACATCTACTGACAATGTGGAGCTTTTGTCAGGATGGGAAATTATTTTGAGCAGCATAGCAGTTACTGTAGGAGGAGAGAAAAAAAATATCCTCTCTGTGTTTATTACTATGCAGTCGAAGAAGAGTGCCCAAATAAAGGAGCTATAATAAAATCAGTCCCGGCTTGCTGAACACAAATAAGGGAAAGATTTGGAACCCAGCTCCATCCTCTCCAGCGTCCATTTCTATTAGGATATGACAAGATTCAGTGGCTGGGAAAGATACGGAAGGGCCTCACCTTGACCCCAGATGGCCACTTTAAATCTCACATTCAATGACAGGGTCTCAGGTAAGCTCCTGGCTCTGTTTTCCGCCCAGAAACCCACCCACACACCTTATCTCCAGAGTGGCTTACTGCTCCCCTCCATTCTTATTCATGGTTACTTAAATTTGTGGACAAAAGTACATTGCTTCATGGAAGGGTCATGGAGAGGGATGCTGTGGGGAAGAGAGATGTTGTGTGGCAGAGGATGCTGTAGGGAAGAGGGATCTTTGGGAGAGAGATGCTGTGTGGAGGAGGATGCTATAGGGAAGAGGAATTCTTTGGGAGAGAGATGTTGGGTAGAGAAGGATGCTGTAGGGAAGAGGGATTCTTTGGGAGAGAGGGGTATTGTGGAAGAGAAGGATGCTGTGGGGAGATGGATTCTGTTGGGAGAGGGATGCTATGGGGAGAGGGGTGCTGTGGGGGAGAAGGATGCTGTGAGAAGGGTGATGTGGGGAGAGGGATGCTATTGGGAGAAGGATGCTGTGGGGAGAGGGATGCTGTGGTACAAGGATGCTGTTGGGAGAAGGATGCTTCGAGAAGGATGCTGTGGGGAGCAGGATGATACTTTTGACACAGTTTTGTAATTGATTAGGCAAAGGGGCAAACAAACAAAAAGGAAAAAGGAACCCAAACTCTCCTCTTAAGTGACAATGGATAGACAAATTTAGTTTCTTGCATTATTGTTTTCTTTATAAATTTAAGGCCAGATGTAGCAATTTATCATGTATTCTTCTTTCCTGTGGCGCTGGTTAAAAAAAAAAAAAGAAGAAATAAGAAAAAAAAGAGACAAATTTCAAAGCTGTATCATACTGACTTTTTTTTCCTTTTGTATCTTTTAGCGAGCAGACACAGTTTGAATCAAATCCCTAACAAAGAGAGGAGGCTTGGAGCCTGCTTATTTGCAGAAGCTGCTGGAAACCCTTTTGATTTTGGGGAGCCACAGAGGGTGCTGGAGCATCTGCAGACCGCAGGCACAGGCGGGCGGCGATTTCCCAGGCAAGCTGATTTGGTTTTGCCAGTAATGTGAGCTCATTTGCAATTTTCTTCTCCTTTTAACAGACTTGAAATCAGGTGTTGAAATTCTGTAAAGGGTGTGTGGGAGGCATGCTAAGCCAGAGGGTGTGTGCTCTCTTGTCTCCACTCTGGGGGACGGCCGGCTGGCCGTGCATCATTTTTTTACAGCTGTATTTGCACAGTTGGGGAAGTAACAGTGTCATCTTGAAACGGCAGATACGATGATGTACGTGTTTGGGGGCATCGATAGAGCACAGTGAATCATGCAGTCTGCGAGTCAGCCACTCTATAAGTCAATCCACGGTGCCCACCAAAAGCTCCATAGGTAAGTGGGGAGGCTGCCTCTGGATCACTTTGGAAGATGAAAAATACCCCCATATATATTCAGACCAATAAAGGAGCCGTGCAGGTGAATAAAAGCAAATTCTGAAATCAGAATCTCAAGGTTGGAAGAAACCCAAAGGCACGTAGAGCAGCCGCATCGCCAAGCTTCCATGTGTCAGGGGATCCTTGCATATTTTAAAGGTTGTAGCTCAAACACTTTGTGAGCTGCTCCGCCCTGCCTTCCTCAAGGCACTTAATCTGTCCCAGTTTCTCAGTGTCCAGGCTGTTAAGACAAAGCTGGGGCCAGTGACATGGCTCGGTGTAAATGCGTTTGCCACAAGAGCCAGGAAACCTGAGTTCCCTCCCCAGAATCAACGTTAGAAGGACAGAACTGACTCTTGAACATTTTCACTTGATATCCACATGCACGCCAGGCCATACACATCTGCACACACACGCACACATGTGCGCACACCATATACAGGTCCACACATACAATAATAAATAAATAGAAACTTAAAGCCAAACTAAATCAAATCTGTCTGCCTTTTCGTTGTCAAAACCACAGCACCCAGTGTTAGAGCTCAGTTTTATCACTGTTGCAAAAGGACAAAACCAATTTTCCTTTGGATGACCATCATCCGATCATCCGATGCAGAAAGTCATCGTACCATGTCATGTTGTATAATCAATGCGTGTGTTCATTCATTAAGGCAGACATATAAAGAAGTGTATGCTGTCCTAGCCTGTCCACTACTGCATAAAGGGCAAAACCAATCTCTGTTAGCAACCACCCCCGCAGTTCCAGAAAGCCAATGCCATGTCATATCATTGAAGTCTTCGCTCATTGTGCGAACACATAGAACACATATGAAGCACCTACTACCCAGAAGTCAGGGGCTAGGGATATGAGATAGATAAGACACGACGTCTGTTCTCAAGAGTCAGTAAGGAGCCAGACACCTAAGCAACTAATTTGAATGTCCTGGGGTGAGTGAAGGCCTAAAGTAGGGCCACCAAGGCCCTCAAAGCTGAAAGCATATTAATTGCCTAGTGGGGATGTGGGTGGAAGAAGAGAGGTCCTTCCAAGGAGATAAGATAAGGTCTTGGACCTCACCTTCAAGCTGACTTGCTATGTTATTGGGAGACTGGCATGATGGTGTCTGTTTAGCCACTGTTTGTGTATCTTTTAATGCAGGTTTGGACAGATACAACTGTTCGGTCCATTTTTACTTCCAATCCCAGACCCATCTTGCTGCACCTGGGCCAGGGAAGGCCTTGAGAGTTAGACACCCCCCCCCCCCCCCAAGAGCCTCGCGGCAGATGGCTCAGGTCCTTCTCCGCTTACCTTACAGGAGCTATGTTCAGAGGAGGCTTCCGTATCAAATCCCTCTGCTGCTATGCAGAGGCATGGGTAGCCAACAGAAATCTTCAAGATTGAATTTTTGAAAGCATTTTGTCTGCAGTGTGACATGTTTGGAAGAAAAGGGCTGTGTTAAATCTCGAAAGCTCCTCGCTTGTGGGGAATTGGAAGAAAAGTCCATAATTATCACACTCTGGACTCCCCATGTACCTGTGAATTGGGAATTCTGGTCTTTCAGAGGGGCTAATGGAATGTCTACTCTTGAACGCTGATCCTGCCTGGGCCTATTATTGGAGAAACAGAAACAGAAGATTCTGGAAGCAGATGACAGCAAACAAAACCCACGGGCACCTAGGGGAACACGGTCACCTGCCTGCTCCAGCTGAGATAAGAGCGCGACCTCAGAGGAATAATACACTTGACCTCCCTTCATCTACTGTCTTTGAAGCCATGTTGGTTAAGGAATAAGCCTATGGCATATTGGGTTCGGGGACTCGGTTTAAAGCCCTTGGGTATTTTACCCGTGTCCTTGAGGATCCTATTCACACCCTCTGAGACTTCATACTTTCATCTGTGAAATGACTTTGGTAATGACTTCAATTCAGAGGGTTATGAGACCGTTTGTGGTCCCCATGGGGCCCAAGCTGTAGGAGGGTCAGAGCAGTTAACGGTGGTAATTCCAGGATGCCTGCCTGAGACCCACTCACTCCCGGAAGATGTCAAGATGAGGGATACGTGGCGAAGGGTAGGCAGATTAGGTTCAGCCAATCAGCAGAAGAGAGAAGGAAGGAATAATTCACTAAGCCTGTCTTAAATTGATAAGAGAAAAAGAAATTTGGGGATGGAAAAGAATGTGTTACAGTCTTTTAAGTCTACCAATTCAGACAGGCAGGAAGAGAGAACATAATGGAGAGGAATTTTTCTTTCTCTGCTTGGAGGGTTTTAGCTCATAAATGACGGGAAGGAGAATCTGTGACCACGAGGGGTTCCCAGGCACCGTTTCTTATTGATCACCCTCATCATGGCGCCTTCTGGTTAGAATAAATCTTAGTCCTCACACCTGATCTCTTCAATTGAAAGCTTCAAGGAGGGGACCCAGGACTCATCATTAGAACAAGATGTCCAAGGGGTTTTTTAATGAGTGAAGTTTAGAAACCTACCGTGAGGGAGAGTTAACATCTATAAAGAACATTTAAAAAAATCAAATAGCTCAATCCAATCCCGTGGGACTAATGTATACTCGCTATAAGGAATAAACAGTGTATTTTTCAAATTTCAAGTCTTTTCTCTCTCTCTCTCTCTCTCTCTCTCTCTTTTTTTAAAGACAGGGTCTTTAGCCTAGACTGGCTTTGAACTCACTGTGGAGCCAAGGATGAACTTTACCTCCCAGGAGCTGGAATTACAAGTACTGGCCACCACCTGGAGATGGAACCAGAAGGTCACGCATGCCAAGTAAGCACTTTACCGATGGGACCACACACCACAGCCTCTCCAGGCTTGTCTTGGAATGCTATATTCCAAGCAGCTTGTTTTCGTGTGTCTGAAAATGTTTTTGGATTTGAGAAAAACATATACAGGAACAGGAATGACCTCAGAACCTGCTCCTTGCAAACAGACCTCCAGTCTCCCTGCTTAGTGCACATGGATTTTCCATCTTTCTCAACCTGCAGCCTCTCACCCCAGCCATAGTGTCCCGTCCCCCCCCCCCCCCACCTCCACCACTCCCCGGCCCACACACTGCCCTCTCCATACACTACAGACTCACCAACCTCTCTGAAACACAGCTCTGATAACGTAAGGCCTTTGGTAAACCCCTATGATATCCACCTTCAGGAGAAAGATAAAAGTCTTTAGCTTGGCTCCAAGGCCCTTTGTCCTGTATCCACTAGCATCCCTTTCACGGTCCACGGCCAGATTCCAAGCAATCCAAACTGTTTTTGCTAGGTTCTTCGTGCACTTGCTGCCTCCAAAGCCTCAGCTCAGACTAAGCTTTCACCGGGCATAACTCCTCAATTCTGAAAATAGCTCCATCCCACTCTCAGCAGCTAGGCACACTTTTTCATGGAGTCCTTCCTTTTGATCTGATGGCCAGTTGAGTCACCCAATGCCTACTGCACTTTTTTTTTCTTTCTGGGGCCTGACTATGCTTCATTTTCCTTTTCCTCATTCATAATTTTAAGAAATTAGTCTTTTGGGTTAGCATACAGTGGAATGGGTGTCACCATAGCCTCTTCAGACATATGTGTGACATCGTGCTCTCTTCTCATCCATTCCATTCCCCAATGCTCCCCCTGGTAGTTCCTGTTCCCAGGAAATCCCTCCCTTACCCCTTTTTAGAACAGGCATTCTATTATCTCTCCATTGCCCACCTTCCATGATCTCCTTTCTAGTTTTGTGACCTCTACATATGTACACGATGATCTTAAATGTAAGCTCCTGCAGTGAGAGAATATACTTTGTTTTTGTCTTTTGGAGTCTGGCTTATGCTGCTTAACATAATGATTTCTAGTTCCATTCATTTTCCTGCAAACGTTATATTTCATTTCTCTTCCAGGCTGCACAAAATTCCATTGGGTATTTTCTTTATCCATTCATCTGTTGCTGGACATCTTAGGTTGGTTCTATTTCCTGGCTATAAAATAAGCAATAAAAATAGATGTGCAAGTATTTCTTCAGGATGCTGACACCAGAATCCTTAGAATATATACCCAAGGGTGATATTGCCAAATCTTATGGTTTTGTGTTTTTAGATCTTTGAGGACCCTCCATACTGACTTGCATAATACTGGGCCAGTTTGCACTCCCACAGGCACCAAATAAGGGTTCCTATTTCCCCAAATCCTTGCCAACATTTGTTGTTACTTGTTTTTTACATGACACCAGTAGCCATTCTAACTGGGGTGAGATTAAATCTCAAAGCGGTTTTACTCAACAACTGAGGGTTTTGAGCACTTTCTAAAGTATTTATTAGCCAGTTGGGTTTCTTTTTCTTCTTTTTTTTCCCTTGAGAATTGTCTATTCCGTTCATCAACCCAATTTATGGATTAGATGACTTAGTACTTGGGGTTTAATTTCACAGTTTTTTTATATCTGCTGGATGTTAGTCCCCTCACTGAGGTGTGGTTGGCAAAGATTTTTCACGTGCTGTCACCTTGACCTTTGGTGACCACCTCTTCTGCTGTGCAGGGTTGCCTGCTTCCCTGTTATCCCATCTAGGCAAATCTTGGAAGTATTTCCCAGGTCCCTTTCAGAGCTCCCGGCCTATGCCCGTGTCTTTTCTCATGTTTTGCTCCAGGAGTGTTCCAAGTCTTACATTCGGCCTTTGGTCTACTTGGAGTTGATTTTTGGGCACTGAGTGACACGATCCACTTTTATTCTTTTACATGTGGAAACCCACTCCTTCTCCCCCACCCCACTCCACGCCTCCCCTGCACCATTTGTGAGAGAGCCTAGCATTTCCTCGATGTTCCTGATTCCCTTGCAAAATCTAGGTAATTGTAGCTACGTGGGTTTATTTCTGTGTCATTCTAGTCCATTCTATTCCAGTCATTGCGGTCTTGACTCTTAACATTTGCTGCCTAGAAACACATTTATCACACATTGGTTTACTAACCTTGAAGATACTGGGGAAGGAGGGCCATAACTCACTTAGCTGTATATCTCTCCTGGAAACTAACATAAAGAAGGGCTTATGTGGCCTACAGAAGACATACCCAACCTCAATGACTAACAGACTCGCTGCCATCATGGACAGGTTTTGTAGTTGTGAGGGTCCACAGGGTAGCCATTAGGCACAGAGTGACTAGCAGGCACTTAAAGTGGTGGCTTAAGGAACTGAATTTTAAGATATAACTTGATCTTAACCCAAATTCCTTCTAAAGCAGCAGACGCGGCGTGTGACTGGCCTACTGGGCAGGGCAGATAGAGGACACAGCGAGAGGAAGAAGTTGCCTGGAAGACTGCCGCTCCGTATCCTCCCTGCGGAGTTCACCTGCCTGGGGCTCCCCATGTTTTCCATCCTTATCTGCTACCAGCTCACCCTTATTCATGTCACGTCAGCCATGCCTGACTGATTTCCTTTCCTCAAATAGGCCTTGCTCATCCGGGCTTCTCGGCTTTTGCTCTTGCAGGAGGCTTCACCTGGAGCACTTTTCTCTCAGATATCACTTGGGCTTTTTTTTTTTTTTTTTTTTTTTCATTCAGGTCTCATCTCAAACGTCACCCTCTTGGAGGAAGCTTTCCTGATGTGCCTTCTAAGGGACACCTCTCTCTTCTCCTACTGTACTTCTTACACCATTTGCATAACAGTCTCATTAACCAAAATCATCTACTGTGATCACTTTATTGTCTAACTCTTTCTAATTAAAGGTAAGCTTCACAAGTGAGGACATACTCAAAAACATCTTGCAATGAAACAAGGAGATAAGCACAAGAACCAGAGTATTGTGTAGTCTTAAAACACTTGCCCTCATAAAACAGGTTAATTATAAAAAAGGAAAACAGGAACTTTGCCCCAGAAGAGAAATCTATCAAACCATTACTTTGTCAGACATTCGCTTCACCAAAAACAGCCTAGGGCTGGTAACATCCTTAGTAATCATACATCTTGACACCAGATATCATCTTGATCTGTTGCGCTGAGACAGTATCACTTCTGTGGTCTTCTCCCAACTGCATAGGACCTCAGTCTAACAAGGAGAGCATTTTAGATAAACCCAAATTAGACCCCAAAGACATGGCAGCTCTGACCCCAGCAAGGACTGAGATTATTTGTCTTTCTTTTGCCAAAAACCTAGCACTCATGACAGATTCTAAATCTTTGATTGAGTTTAATATGATTAAAGTAGCTCCTAATTTGAATTAAACACACTGGCTGTGTTAACACATGTAGTGCCCCTCCAAAGAGGATTATCCAGTTTCCGGTGGGCAGGTTACCAACACTGGCTACTGACCAGAACTGGCACAATGTAAGGGCTTGCTGAAGTGGGTCTCAAGACTGGGGAAATTGGAGCAAGTTTAGTTCACAGAAACAAGAGTCTACTCTAGGCGACCAAGGGAAGTGGATTGTTTTCAACACCAATATCTATAAAATCATGCTGTTTTGTCCTCCAAATACTAGGACTCAAGAAAAGCTCAAGCTTTGACTGTCTCTCCAGTGTGGAACAGGAAGTTTCATTTGTAAATATTATTTTAATGCTGTATATCAAGCAGTCCAGTGTGTGACCATTTTCTGATATATACTTTAGTTATTTACAATAAAAACTACATAAGGTTAGGTCAACACATACGTTATAGATGAGGAAAGTAAGGCTGAGGGAAGTCAAAACACTGGTCCTAATTTATACAGCACTAAAGACACAAAGGAAGAAACTCAAACTATGCTGCCGATCATCCAAAGTGCTTGACAAGGGGCCTCCATAGTGACTGATCTAACCCTGTACTTCTTTGATGCATCTTGAATGTTGCAAAGAGACATTTGCAAGAGACATTGGCTAGACTTGTCCCTGGTTGTGGTCACGATCTTGTCTGATAGGAGCTGAAGCCAGTGACTGGCTAGAGCAGGGTGGGAAAGGCTCGAGGGGCACGGTCATCGGAGCAGGGCCCTATCCTGTCTCACACACGATTTTGGGTGTGGGGTCAGTCAGGGCATCTGCCCTTTTCTGAGTCTTAGCTGTGTGATCTGCCAGATGCTGCAGACATAAAGCCCTTCTGATATTCCAGCAATGTTCTAAGTTGGGTGTTAAGCCTAGCCTCCTCTTTGGAGAGTCGAGTCCTGTTATCTTATTTGCCATGGACAGATATGGATTATTTTGTCTGAAACATGTGCCATGCTAATTAGATCAGCTTGCTAGCCCTCCCTCTTTCTTGCTCTCTTCTCTTTCATTGCTTCTATTTCTGTCCCTGATTCTCTTTCACTTCCATGCTCCAAATAAGACTGTTGTGTTAGCTCTACAATCAAAACAATCTAATTCACGGTACAAGTGAACATGCACAACGTCCCTAGGGAGGACCTTGGTACAGATACAAGAAAGAAAAGCTCAAAAACACTCAACTGACCAAGAGAAGTCAGAGAAACTGGAATACAAAAATTTTCTATTGATAAATGTAGAATGTAGAGTTCTCAATTTTGCTCTTGGCCAGGCAATGATTTGGTAAGGATGGCTTCTCTCCATCCTTGGGGGTTGGGGGTGCAGACCTTAGAAATGAGAACTGTCTTGATTGTTATTTTCTTAAAGAGGTTTTCTCCTAGGTGATTTTTCCAGAATCCTGAATCCCTTGAAGTGTAGTGGTGCAAGGAACCACCTTGACATCGGGTACCATCTTGACCTGCTGCACTGAGACAATCTCACTTCTGTGGTCTTGTCCCAGTTGCATAGGACCAAGAGCTCTTGATTAGAACTGAGCCTCTTCTGGTTGTCAACAGACTGGTGTCAGATGTTGCCCATTGCCATAGTTACTTGACCAAAAAGGCTTGACCTTCATGGGACTGGCCTGCGGGCATGTCTGTGGGGCAGTTTCTTGGTTGATATAGGAGGGCACACCCAGTAAGAACTCCTCCTCCATGGTCTCTGCTTTACTTCCCGCCTCCAGGTTTCTGCCTTGAGCTTCTGCCCTGCTTTCCTTCAGTGATGGCCTGGGATGTGGAAGTGTAAGATAAAATAAACCTTTTCCTTCTCCATGTTGCTGTCGGTCAGTGTCCTTTCACAGCAATATAGAAACAAACTAGAACAGCAGTTGGTACCAGGAGTGAGGTATTGCTGTGACAGGCTTGATCATGTTTGGGGGAAGACTGTGGAAGGGTTTGGAGCTCTGAGCTGGAAAACTCACTGGATGCTCCTTGCTTAATGAAATGTTCTGGGAACTTAGAAGATAGTGCTGAAAAATGTACACAATGGGGGCCTGGCTTTTGAAATTTCAGATTGAAGTTTGAGAGTCCCTCAAAGTCTGCAATGTAGCTGGAAGTTTTCCTGTGTCCTGCCTGGTCCTGTGGCTGCTCAGACCCAAGTAAACACACAGATGCATATATCAATTACGAATTGCATGGCCATGGCCTATAGCTCAATTTTCTTGCTAGCTAGCTCTTATAACTAAACTCAGCCCGTTTCTACTAATCTATATGTCACCATGTGATCCGTGGTTTTACCTGTGTGCCATTCCATGCTGTTCCCTGTATGGTGGGATGGCATCTCCTCTACCTCCCCTTTCTTCTTCCTGTCTCTCTCCTGGATTTCCTGCCTGCCTCTAAGCTGCCTTGCCGTAGGCCAGACAGCTTTATTTATCAAACGATCAGAGCAACACATATTCACATCATACAGAAAGACATTCCCACAGCACCCCATCATGACTGTGTGATACTTTGAATGAAGAATCTGTGGTTTCTGGTGAGCAGAGGCTGAAGGATCAGCCATGATTAACAAGAGGCCAGCACTACTCTAGCTCTTTCTTTACTGGGACAATCAATGCTGGTTATCGCGGTGGAAAAAAAATCTGCTTTGAATAACAGGAGCTCATCATCATTGAAATGAACTCTTACAGGAAGTATTTCCTCAAAGGTCAGCACACAGAAAATGTGGTCTGGAGGGGGTTAAAGTTGAACATCAAGATGGCAGCAACATTTGGTAATACGTAAGAATTTCTTACATGGTACTAGTTTTGAAGACACGATAGGCTCATGAATAGCAGCGGAGCCTTGGCACTGTGAGATGTCGGGGATGTCAGGAGTAGCTGTGAAGGTGCAATCTCACTTGCTGTGGAGACCTCCAGCATACTGGAGATGCCAGCACCGTAGGATGACTGCCAGGGACAAAGGAATCTATGAAATGGAGGTAGTCTGCGCTTTCAGACAAGCGGTGTGTGCTGTAGACAGCAGAGCAGGAGAAGGGGAGATACCCAAGATGTTCGAGGCCCAGAAGATTGTGACTGAGTCCCAGATGTCAGACACTGAGCCACAGTATTTTAGTTACAATGCTAGACTTTGGTTTTGCTTAAGTGTCATTGTTTTTATGCCCTGGATCTTCCCTCTAGGAGTAATAAACCATTTCACTTAAAAAAAAAATAATTTTACAGGATCTTACAGTTAAAAGACTTATTTTAAAGAAAGATTGAAAATTTAAGTCATGGCAGTTTTAAAGACTTTGGGGCTTTTAAAGCTATGTTGCATTTTATATTATGATATAAATACAAGATCTTGAGGAAACACATGATAGGAAAGGTTATGTTTTAAAGTATTGTGTTTGTGGGTCAGCATTGACAAAGGGTAGAATATCACAGTCAGCGTCAGGTGTCAACATAATACACCTAGGAAGAGCAAATCTCAACTGAGGAGTTACTTCCATGGGATTGGCCCATGGGCATGTCTGTGTGACTGCTGATTGATGTAGAAGGACCCAGGCCACTGTGAGTAGTACCATCCCTAGGTAAGTGGGCCTGGGCTTTACGTAAAAAGCAGCTGAATGAGACCCAGAAATGAAGCCACTGAACAAAATTCATCCATAGTATGTGTGCTCCAGTTTCTGCTTCAAGGTTCCTGCCTTGAGCTCTTGGGTTTTCTTTCTCCAATGATAGACTGTGGCACAGAAGGGCAAGAATAAATAGACCCATTCTTTCCCCATGTTGTTTGGTCAGTGCTCTATTACATGAGTAGAGAAGCAAGCTAGAACCCATTATATTTTTAAATTCCAGATTCCTTACTTGTAAAAGGGAATACCAATATACACCTATTAAGATAGATAGTATACAGCAACAGCATCAAGAAAATAGTAAATGTTGACAGGGCGTAGAAAAATTGGAGCCTTCATGCATATGCTGGTATGAATGCAAAGTGGTGCTGTAGGAAATTCTGTAAACTTCACAAATGTTGAAAGTATAATTGCCATGTGACCCAGCAACTCCATGACTAGGGATATATTCAAGAGAACTGAGAATAAAGATTCAGATATTTGCACACCTCTATTCATATCAGCATTATTACAAGTCATGAAAACAACTCACATCTACTGACAGTTGAATAGATAAATGAAATGTGATACATTTGAAAATATTACATGATTTGGCTTTGAAAGAAGAAAGACATTCTGACTTGTAATCCAACACTGATGAACAACGAAGATAGGACGCTAAGTGAAATAAGCTAGTTACAGAAAGACAAATAGTACTGAAATATAAGGTTCTTATTACATGGGATACCTGAGTAATGTAAAGTGATGGGGACAGGAAGTGGAATAGGAGCAGCAAGGGCTGGAGGAGGATAAGGAGCTAGGGTTTGCCCAGAGCAGAATTCAGATTTCACAAGATGAAAGGAGTCTAGGAAGAGATGCTAGTTACGGTTGCTCAATAAGTCAAATGTACTTAATTCCACCAAACTGTGTATTTCCAATGACTAAACTATGAAATTTTAACCACAATACAAATGGGGTTATTTCGAGATGAAGCTGGGTGTCACATCTAAGATATTTGGAAGAATGTCCATCACGCAGTACTTGCTCTGTACATATTGGCCTCCTACTCTTCCAAACAGATAACTTATCATCTTCTTTTTTGCCTTCTTAAGAGATTAGGATTAAATAGTGGCCACACACATGGAGCCATAAAGAATAACAGTTCTCCACTAAGATGACCTCACTGACAAGTGGGAGCTCCTAATTTCAGGTCGTCCTGGAGACCCTGCTTTCTTCCATCATATTTTTAAAGAACAGTCAATTTTTGGAGGTAAACTAAAAACATTCCAATAAAGAATCAACATACATTTCTCTTCAGCTGAAAACAAGATGGGAGAAAGTTTCTGGTTTGAAAGTTTAAGGTAAGTAACTGTGATGGCTAGTTTTGATTGTCCACTTGATTGCATTCAGGAACACTGCATGCATCATAGCTCTTGTGGTGAGTCCATGGGGGCATATTCGGAGACAATCAGCTTGTGGGGGCTCTGGTTCAGCAGATTAATCTCTTGGTAGATTCATAGTGGAATGCTGTGGTGGTTAGTTTTGTCAACTTGACATGACCTAGAATCACCTGGAAAGAGAACCTCGGTGAGGAATTGCCCATATCATGTTGGCCCGTGGGCATATTTGTGGGAGATTGTCTTAAATTACTTGATATGAAAAGACCTAGCTCACTACAGGCAACACAATTCCCTAGGCAGCAATTCCTGACTGTGGAAGAGTGGAGAACATAAGCAACAAAGTGAACATTCACTCATTAATTTCTCTTTGATCTTGACTACGGCTGTGATGTAACTAGCTGTTTGAAGTTCCCATCTTGACTTCCTTACAATGATGGACTGTGACCTGGAATTGTAAGCTCTAAGTTGCTGGTGTACAGGGTATCTTTTATCATAGCAACATGCACAAGACTAGAAAAGAAATTGGTATGGAGGAAGCGGGGTTGTTGCTGTGATAAACTTGACAGTGTGGCTTTTATGTCTTTGGACTATTTTTTTTTTTTTTTGGAATCATTTGGAAGGTGGGCTTGGAAAAGCCATCGGATGTCTGAAGCAGAGCTAATGGGCTGTTTCAGTAGGAGCTTGGGAGATAAGAATGCTGATAAGAAACATGGATGGTTGAGGCCCCATTCACAAGGTTTTAGAGATAAACAACGCCACCAGGAATAGGCATCAGGTAGGTGGTGAAATATAAGCTACATAGAGCAAGTAGGTCACTAGTGTTAGTTCCTTGGGGGCTATATTGTATCTGGCTCCTTCGTGTATTCTTTCTCTGTTTCCTGGCCTGTGATAATGTGAGCTTGAATGAATTCTCCAAACTGTGAGGCAAAATAAATCTTTCATCTACTGTTTCTCTTAGCATATTATTTCACAGCATGTATACCACATACACACATAGTCTTTAGCCCAACAGACATGTGAATATGAGGCTTGATTAATGTATTAGAGCTATAGTCTTGGTCACCTGGCTAAATATTGTTTCTACCACATCTGGCTACCTATGCCCAACTGACCTTCAGAAGCAAGACTGAAGGGTATACTAGAGGAATAAGGAGGAGGAGTTCTGTTAATGACGGGAAATAGGCTTCCATAGAAGAGTCCCAGAATGCTTTTACAAATCCCTTTTCAGTGTATTAGCAGCCTCTGCATATAGACAGCCTGCAAATATCAGGGCAAGCTATTCCAAAGCGCCCAATTTGTTGGTTATATTTTTGTCAATTTGACATAAGCTAGGGTCATCTGGGAAGAGGGAATCTCAGTTAAGAAAATGCCTCCCTCATATTTACCTGTAAGCAAGTCTATAAGTCATTTTATTGATTAATGTGCAACGTGGGAAAGCCTAGCTCACCACGGGCATTACCACCCATGGGTTGGGCAAGTGATCCAAGGTTGTGTAAGGCAGGCTAAGGAAGCTACTGAGAGCAAGCCAGTAAACAGCGTTCTCCCATGGCCTCTGCTTCAGTTTCTGCCTTTAGGATCTTCCCTCGGGTCCCTGCTCTGTCTTCCCCCAGTGATGGGCTGTGTAGGAAGTGTAAGATGAAACAAACCCTTTCCTCCTCAAGTTGCTTTTGGTCATGGTGTTTGTCAGAGGAACAGAAAGCAAAGTAGGACTCAAGGTGAAACCCTTATCCCGACTCACCCCCGGTCTAGTCAGCCTGGGACCACATCACTTTTCCATGTCCCTTTTTCAGATGGAAAATCTTTTTAAAAATCATGGAATAGGAAGGTTGTGTTTAAATAACTGCTTCAAACCTACTATATCTGAGTATGGAAGGAAATAAACGTAAAAGTGGGTGAATTATTGATGACCTGCTGTGTATTAGACACTAAGAGCTTTGGACACATTATTTCATTCATCCTCCAATCATAATTCTTTGAAGTTGGTTTTATAATTCCAATTTTACAGATAGGACACAGAATCTAAGATTAATGAGGGCCTGACCAATATAAAATAAAAATTCATACACTTTCTCCCTGCCCAACCAGAACCTCCCAGCTTCTCTAAGGTATTTTTTTTTTAAACACTATAAGAAGTTTAGGAAGGTCTCATATGTTGCTCTCACCAAAAGTCTGTGTACAAACCCAGCAGTATGCTTAGCTTATAGGAAATTTATTTTAACCCACATTGACTATTGGTTCCCACAATGTTTACATACACGTGCGCACACAGTGTGGATTACGTCTGAGTATTTATGTATATATTTGCATTTGATAATCATTTGAGGTCCAGTTATATAACTTAGGAAACAGCCTGGTAAGATCATCAATAACTTGATTTATTCGGCTGAAAATAGAGCAGGCAAACATCTGCTCAATCACTCCCAGTACTTGGCTTCACACATGCTCTGCTGTTACGTTACATGGAAATTTTAAGTATTCTGTTAAGGGTTGGAGTCATTTGTCATCTGTCCTTCCCAACATGCTGGGATAAGGAGAACCACTAATCATTACCCCTTGAATTTGCTGTTTTTCTTCTCAGGAACTCTATATCCTGTATAGATACTGCATCAATCTTGCAAATGCCTTTGAAACAATCTTGAGGCATGAAATTTTCCTTGACCTACAGAACGCATTGGAAATAGCATACTGTTCCCCGTGGATTGAACTGGGAGACTTCAGTGGTGTCTATTGCAAGCAGACGTGGGTAATAGTGACTTCATTTCACAGATAGTGACCAGACAACTGAACCATAGCTGAAGCATCCATTAAGGTCTGGGTCTCCTGGTGCTGGAGAAAATTGTCAATAATAATAAAAGTTGCCAACAGTACTGACTGCTTACATTGTAGGAGAGGCTGTGCTAAACTGAAGGCACAGTTACTACTCAGCCATCTTTTTTGTATTAGTATCTCCCCCTCTCAAGAAATAAAATATCCACTGTAGATGCTCATTACCCCAGAATATCTGGTTCCACCTCACTGAACTATCCCCAGTCATGCGAGACTATGGTTTTCCATTTTGATGGGTAGGAGAGTCACTTGGAAAATGTCTCAAAATGTAAGTTCTTGGAACTCACCATAATTTCTCTTTTGAGAAGTGTGAACTTATGTCTAAAATCATGAGTATTTTTGGACCCCCCCCCAAAGGATGCTTGTGAGGTTAGATTTTAATTATCACAGATACAGAACACCAAATGCCATCATTTTTGAGAAATTATTTTATTATTTTTTAATTATATGTATGTGTCTGTATGGGAGAGGTATGTACACATAAGTGCAGGTGTTCTCAGAAGTCAGAGGTGTCAGTACCCCTGGAGCTGGAATTATAGCCATGAAGAGCAAGACAGTAAGCAGTGCTCCTCTGTGGTCTCTGCTTGAGTTCCTGCCTCCATGTTCCTGCCCTACCTGAGTTCCCGCTCTGGTTTCCATCATGAAGCTGGAAGGTAAAATAAACCATTTCCTTCTCAATTTACTTTTGGTTGTGGTCTTTATCAGTAGAAACCTAACCAGGACAGTGTCTAATCAAAGTAGATTAAAAGAGCTGACGTTTCCCCAAATAATAAACTTTCAAAAAAGAAAAATCAACAACTGTGTACATTTGAACTTTAATAATACTTTAATACTTTAAACTTTTAATTCTTCATATTCTTTGCACTGTTACAGATTAGGTCCAGGGTATTGTATATTTTAATGTTCTGCCACTGAGCTACAATCCCCATCCTTGAACTTTCAAAAAAATTAACCTTTAATTTTATGTGTGTGGGTGTTTTGTCCAGAAGAGGGTGGTGTCATATCCCCTGGAATTGGAGTTACACATGATTGTGAGCCCCCATGTGGTTAAATCAACCCCAAGTCCTCTAGAAGAGGAGCCAGTACTCTTAACCCCTGAGCAATCTCCAGTCCCTGGAACTTGTTTTTAATCAAGAAAAAGTAGAGTGTTTGTCTCAGTCACTATTATTTAGATTTTCTCTACAACTTTCAGTTAATGACATTCACAACTGACATAGAAGTATAATTATTAAAATCTCTCTTTGTTTTGTAGAAGATAGCCTCAAAAAGTTATGTGACCTGCTCAAAATCTTCCAGCAAGTAAGATGGGTCCTGGATTTGAACTAAGATTGGATGACTCCATATGTTGAACCCCACCATCTACAAGTAAGGGCTGTAGTGACTACCCTGCTTTAGAGCTGGATGGATCCTGTGAGTAGGGGTCTGGGCTTCTTTCCTTATTTTAACTTAGAAGAACTCTTGCTAATAATATACTTTTCAAGTTGGGCTTTCTAAGTTACAAGGTATATTTCTAACTATATATAAATATATGTAAGATATATTTCTAAATTATAAGATATAATTTAAAGACACACTTTTAATGGCTAAAGAAATAAAACAGCATTATGCCATATTGCTTTCTTCTTATGCGTAAGGCAGAGCCATCACAAAGGATGCAATACTTGATCATTCTTCTCATAGTATCTTCTACTTCAGGAGATAAGACCTATCACAAAGCACACTGAGAGGAAATATAAGAGATGAACTAGGGCCCTTTAAAAGTAATGGTTACTGTATGCTCCAACATGTCACTGAAAACAGTGTTATAAAAGCAAATCATTATATAATGATTCCCATTTCCCTGTGGGATTATTTCATAAAAAGGGTTGTGCTCTAAACCCAAAACTTAGGATCCAATTAATTATAAATATAGCCAGTAACAAGGCACAAAAGCAAAATATAACATCATTTGAAATAGTAAAATTATGAACCAAGTCCTATAAAATGGGAATAAATATACTGAACATATTATAGTACATTTGGGCTTAGTGTAGAATCAAAGTAGTCATATAACATTATAAGCATAAAATTCTCTATCATAAATCTGACCTAAAACTAACATGCTAGCAATAATAAACCCAAAACATGCAGTGAATGATAATTTTATTTGCTCCAGACTTTAGGTTGATTTTCACAGGATAATTTATATACCCACTTCTCTTATCCACATGAAATATCCAAGGAGTTAAAATGAATTTATTCCCTTATTGTGGAGTGATTCCTGCAGCAGGGAGAAGTATTCCAAATGCCCCATTACTCGAAACACTAGGGAAAGGGATGACTGTTGTACAAATATCCACAGTAGAAGGTATGGTAGTTTTTTGTTCAGTTTTGATATTATAATGTAATCACAACAGTTCCCCCCCCTTTCCTTCCCTCCCTCTAAACCCTCCGACACACCCCGCCCTGCTCTCCTACAAATTCATGGCCACTTTTCTCATCAACTATTATTGCATGTGAAAGCCAACTGCTACTTAACTTGTTAGACAGTCCTCCTGGAGCCTTCTAGATTGTCCCATAGTGATGAAAAGCTAAAGGGACTGATGTCCTGATTAAAAACTAGAGAACTGGAAATTTATATAAAATACAAAGTTGAAGCCATTGAACGATACATAGGTAGGGCCTTAGCCCTTAAGAGAAAGAAATTCAAAGAAGTGAGCCTTAAGGTTTTCCTGGGTTAGTGTCTGCAAACCATTTCCAGGCTACACTATAGAGAAAATCAAAGCATGGACATAGTGGGTAGGCCTATCATGGAGGCTATCAAGGAAAGAAAGGCAGATCTGCAGAGGATTGGCCTGGAATGCTTTCCTGAGTAGAAGCTATTACAGTCATGGTTCTAAGTAATCTGTATCCCAACTAGTTAGAGACAAGACAGACCTACTAATTGATGGGCCATTTGGTACAGCCATCAGGAGAGCCCTACTTGAACAGCAGTAGGGGAAATTAGTTCAGATCCAAGACTATTGTGTATCTGACACAGCACACTTAAAAGCAATCTGTGAAAAGCTCACAATGATCAGCAAGTTACTCTGCATGTCAGAACAAGGTCCAGCACTCTTTATGAGAACAACATCAAAATCCAGTTCCCACAATATAAAATCATGGCGTCTATGTCCAACCAAAAGTTAGCAGGTGTTCGAAGGTCTGACATCAAATCAGAAGAAAAATCTGTCTGGAAACAGAACCATAAGTTATACAGGTATGAGAATTATCAGAAAGTTATCTTAAAATGGCTGTTAGAAACCTTCTAAATATAGTCAATGGAATTATAGACAAAGAGAAAGAGTAAAATATAGAAATACTTTAGGGATTTTGTGTTATTGGCCACTTAATTCTTCTGTTATAGTATGGAAGAGCCGCAGTAACATACTGGCAAATGCATAGTTCAGACAAAACTTTATTTGTATGAAGAAGTGTCCGACTAAGAGCCTGTGTATTGTACTTTGCTGATCTGTATACAGGAAGATACAAACACATCAAGGGAGACATGAAAGCCTGAAAAGAATCCAATAGACATTCGGTAATGTCTGTGATTGTTGTGTTCACCAGAGGGAAAAAAAGTTACTATTGGCCTCTAGCAGGTGGAGTCTAGGGAAGATTCTAAACATCTGAACGTTGACAGAATAGTTCCCCTGACAAAATATTATCTAACTCTGAATGCTCATGGCATCCGTTGTTGAGAAATTATGCTGCAGGGGAAATGATCAGATCTGAAGGCAGAGTTATGAAAACCACTCAACACGAAGCTTGAGGGATAAGGACCAAAAACCTAATAGCAATTCACCATCAACCCTAAACAGTGTGATCTACAATATGTACAACAATTGTATAGACGTACATATTGTACAGATGTACAGTCCCAGAAATGCATAACCGTTTGAGGAAATCACAGAGAAATTTACAAATTGGCTGAAAACTATAAATCTGAAAAAAAAACTTAAAAAAAGATTGAATCCTATAAAATTGATTTAAAATAGCGAAAAGGATATTTAAGGCGTTCAGAGAAATGAGATAAATAAGAACAAACAGAGGCACAGCAGGAAGCTGTCAGAAACCATGTATGCAGAAAGACAATAGAGATGGAGTGCTAAGGAAAAATACCAAGTCAGAATTCTATATGCACCGATACATCTTCTTAAAATGGAAAAAAAAAATCTTTTTTGAGAAACAAAAACTCAGAGAAACTTTCAGTCTAAGAAATGAAGAAGGAAGTTCCCCAGGCAGAAGGGAAATACACCAGATGGATAATGGGATCTATACAAAGGCACAGAATATACTACGAATGGAAAATACCTAAGTAAATATTAAAAATATAATTTTGTCTCATTTAAAAATCCATTTAAAGGGGCTGACTGCTTAAAGCCAAAATAATGGCAGCATAGTATATTATGGGTCTCATGTAAAATTAAAATCTATGGCAGCAGTAGCACCAAGGCTGGGAGACAGGTTGGAAATATACTAATGCAAGAATCTGATTGCTATGCATGAAGCAATATTAGTTATGGGTAGATTTTAAGACATTGAAGAGGAATACTAACACCCCTAGAGCAGGCAGGAAGAAGTAAGAGAGAGAAAGCTGACAAATTACAGGTGGATTTAAAATGAAATTACAAAACAATGCTCTAGTCATGAGAAACTCTGTGGCCCCAAGTCACCAGGACATCATCACGTGGACATTGTTCTTTCTTCTTTAGGGATCCAAGCAAACACTATCCTATCACAGACCTGGGGAATATTATCTCCCCAAAGTGTGTGAGTGTTGACGTCATAGTTTCAAATATCTGGTGTCTCCCAAAGTTCACAACACACACACACACACACACACACACACACACACACACATACAAACACACATACACACACACACATACTCATGCATACACACACACTCATGTACATGCACTCACAATGACACACACACATACATACACTCATACATATACACTCACACACATTCACAGTAACAAAGTCATACACATTCACATACATACACAGTCATGCACCCTTGTACACACACTCATACACATACACATACACGTATACATTTATGCCTGAACACACTCAGACACACATAGTTTATTTGGACAATGAGTTCCTAATATATCTTATAAATATTGGTGCAATTTTCAAAGAAAATGTCAATATTGTCATGATGTCAATCTATTTTAGTCTCATTTAAAAAACCCACCCGGTGTTTATGACGAACACTTCTTACCTTTTACTATGTGGAAATCATTAAAGGGATCCTCGATTATTTTTCTTTATTTGTACCTTTGGATTCCAGTTACCCTTAGGGTGCCATTTTCTTTCTTCAAAACAACTTTGCTTCAGGCCACCTATTTGTTCTATATTGTGGAACATGTTTCTACATGTTCTGAGGCTCACTGGCCAAAGCTTTATCAATTAATCATAAGTCAATCACTCAATTACTAACCCAGCTTGCAGACAGCTCTCTGCCCATTTGGATCACTAAAGCTACTAAACAATATATTTTATAATACAATTTGAGTTTACGCTTGATTGACTAGTCATTTGTTGGGAGATTCCTGCGACAGCTTTAGTGGACATCTGTAATTTTGTGTAATAGGTGATGATCAGCATTTCTTATTTTGGGGCGATTTTCCCCATCTCCACTGAACCAGACTCTTGTGGAGCTGTGAAAAGATTCACCCTCTCCCTTCTAAGTCTGGCAACACTCATTGCCCTCCCATACACTAGTTGATTCAGCTGGGACCATAAACCAAGACGGAATAGTCAATTTCCTTTTAGAGGACAACATAGATGCTGGCTGATCCTGCCCCTCCCCCCTGAGGTTGTACATATCAAGAGTCACACTTAATGAGCTACTAGAAGCCACCCTTTATAAAGAGGTTCTTACATAAAAATAAAGGCAAATAGAGGTGAAGAATGGTAACAGAAGCCTGTAAATAGTAATTAACATCACTTAGCTAATTTAAAATAATTAAAAAATATATCACATACTTAGTGCTATTGAAACCCTGGGCATATAGCAGTGAACACATTCTTTAGCTTATAACTTAGGGAATTCTTGAGCCCCATGATACGAAAGGCCATGACCTCCATTCCCCAAGTTTAGATTGTAGGCTTTGAATCTGAAGGGTCTCACACAGGTCAGTGTTTTAAACGTCTGTTCCCTGGAAACTGTGAACCCTCTAAGAGTTGAGGCATGGCATGGCAGCCATAGATCACAAGGGGTGAGCCTTCGAATCTCACACCTAACCCTACGCTCCCTGCGTTCTGTCCGCCTTCATGGAGGAGGCTATGCCATGAACTCTGACATGCCTTCCCTCCCGTGATGGACTGAAACCCCCCTGAAATCATGAGCCCTAACATACTGTCCTCCCTCAAGCTGTTTCTATGAGCTGTTTTGGTCACGAGGATGTAAAACACTCGGACTTTTCGGTTACACAAGCCAACCAACCTTTCATCTCTAACTTAACCTAGTTCCTTTTAGACTGATGTCATTGTAAAGAGACTGTTAATTCTGGATGAGAAGCTAGAAGTATGAATGAAAACGGTGAGCCTATCTACTTGCTCTTGTTGGCTGAAAGCTTGAAAGTCCAGCTATACCAGTGCTTCCCAAAGTGTAGCTCAGAGACAGGGTGGGAGTCCAGAGAGCCTGTCAGGGCTTCCTCAAGGTCAAAACTATTTTCATTATATCACTAAGATATCAAGAGTAAGATATTTATACATTCTTGCAAAACTATGTACAGTAGAATTTTCCAGAGGCTCTATAACTTCTATTAAGCCAGACATTAGGGAATTTCTAAAAAAAATATACAACCTTGACACTCTTCATACTTAATTTGGTTTAGTTTTGGCACACATGACTGATTTTCATTAAAACACATTATTCATAGTGGTATGTTATATAAGGGATTTTGTTATTATTTGTAAATAAATAGGTACACTTCAAATGTTCTCAATTTAATATTTAATATAACAAAATCAATAGCTATAACTTACACGGGCAAAACTCTCTGGGATCCTCAATCATTCTTCTTAGGAGTGGAAAAGAGATGAAAAATTTTGAGAACAGCTCCCCTAGACCAGTGCTAAGCACATGGGGGTCAGCAGGAGTCACAGAGCTACAGAGTAAGCTATTGGCTTACAGGAGAAGTGCATACAATATAAGCTCATGAACAAAAATGTCTCTCTTCTATTCTTCTAGATGAGAAGTTCCCGCTTCTAACAGAATTGAAACAAAACAAAGCGGTAACCATGTTACTGCTGAGGTCCCACCCCCATCTGGCTTCGAGGTCCAGTCCTAATGAGGCCTGAGGGGGTAGAAATGAGCCTGTGGAATTCTCCTAAGGAAGCCACTCTTGCTGCCCATCTGAGCGAAGGGGCAGACAGCTGGTCAACAAGGTAATGCAAAGATGGACTCACTCAGGCTCACTCCACATCTGTATACACATCAGGACCAACTTACAGAATTAGCCAAATCAGTGATGCCTGGCTATTGTCGTGTGCCAGACAGATTTCTCAAAACCTCAGCCCTAGATTTGACAGTTCCTGGCATTCAGTAATGAAGCAGCAGGTGGTTTTTTTTCAGCTATTACAGTTCATATTAGCCTAACACTCTGATAGCGTTTTCTTACTTGAACATTTAGACCTGTACTCACTATGCTCTCTCTCTCTCAGAAACAGAAAGCTCCTTGCGCTCATTCAGCCCTAGCATCCCTTTACAGACATGCTCCATCTCTATGGTAACCAAACTTCTCCTTATTCTTTCCCCATGTTGGTCTTCTTTGCAGCACTATGATAGGCTTCACTGAGTGTCCCTGGGCTTAGAGTGTTTGGCTTTTGCCTTGTCAACTACCACAGGAGTTTTCTAGACCCCATAAGTTTTCCATAAGTTTCTGTTTCCCACAACTCTTTCACTGAGACCCCACAGTCATGTGCCACTAAGTTGCAACTGGATCAATGTCCTCTGCTGGTCAGAAGAAAATATAACTTCCCTGAGGAACACTGTCATCCATAGCTTTTAGAATATAACATGATCCTACATGGAAACAGGCCCATGGGGCTGAAAACCCAGATTTAAAAAAATAACAGAAACAAAATCTAGGCCTTGAAGTCCATGTATTTAAAGATTTGGTGAAAACTAATCCACTGAGTTTTAAGAGAAAAAAGGAAATAAGGAAGATTTCCCATGCTGATTTATGTAGCATAAGTTTGATAAAGAGGGCTAGCAAAGCAGGCAAGAAGGAAAACTGTGAGTATTAGAGAAATCACATGCAGAATAAAATAATTACAGGAAGGATGTTCAAGAAAATAGGCCAAAATCTATAAAATAAAAGCCATGGATGAAAATGGCTGAATTAACCTGGCTACATGGACTATGGAGAGGTCCAAGGTGAGGGACCACTAGCAAATAGTTGGGATCAACCACATGCTGTATTTGTGACCATGTTTCCAAATGATCCCTTTCTTCTACTTGAAGTTGCATGGTGGAGGTCACAGGCATTGTGAACCTGGACAAGCTTTCCCTACTATACTCTGTCTAGATACTCAACCCACAGAATCTGAGCATACATATGCACATGTTTGTGCACATACGCACACACATGCATGCACATATGTATATATATATTTAATTGCCACTCTGTTTATTATTAACCTGAAGGTGCTGGAACATAAGGAAGCTTCCTCAATCTGATAAATGCCATCTTCTCAAGTTCTACAGCAACCTCACACTCATGAGGGAATAAGAAGCTAGATGACAGGGCTCATGATTTACCACCCATGTATACCTGATTCACTCCTTAGACAGTAATAAGCCAAGGAACGAAAGAAAAGGAATAATGTCTAGAAAAGAAGCATTGAACTAATAGAAAATCCAAAGGAATTTATCAATTTTTGGAATCAGTAAAATCATTAACAATTTAGTATGATCTTTGAGATACAGTAAATACATACCAAGAAAATGTATTTTTCAGTATGAGTCACAAAGGAAAAACACATCTCACAACTAATTTTTACAACTTTCTCATGTGTAACACCATAGGAAAACCATGATGATCTTAAAGGATCAAGTGCAATTACAGTTTAAAATAATATTTTCATTTACTCTTTGAAAACTTCAATATGATACACTGATTGAACAGATGGAAGAGTTGAAAAATGTGTATTCTTATGCCCCTTTTACTTCTGAAATAAAAAGTAGTATACCGCAAAAAATAAATGTTTAGAAAATAACTAATAACATACATAAATAAGTCTACAGAAAATATGAGCAAGGACCCAAAGAAATCTATAAAATATCACGGGGAGAAGTTAGCCGATCTAAATCTATGGAAAGCTGTATACACTGTGCTGAGGAACCTGGAGACTCGGTACTGAAGATGCCACTTCTCCTGAATTAATGTGTACATAATACAGTCCAAAGAAAAAGCCCAGAATACTTTTTTTTACATAATTTATAAGGTCATTACAAAATAGATACATAAATGCAAAGGATATGCATGGCAAAGACAATCTTGAAGATGAATGAACTTGGTGTAGTGACAGAACCAGATGTCAAGACATACTATAAAGCTGCATTAATTAAAACAGAGGGTTTGGTATAAATATAGACGAGAGCTTACCTACCGAATGGAGTCATAAAAACCCACATTTATCACTACCTGCTTAAAAGACATGTGGACAGGCTAATCTTCCCAACACAGTGCTGTGTCACTGAGACCTGTCTATGAGAAGATGAGCACCAGCTCGACTCCATGCCATGCACAATGACCCAGACCAAGTGAGTTGAAGACCTAAGTGTGAAAGGAGCAGCAATAATCCTCCCAGAAGTTAACATGGGAGAATCTGTGCATGGCAATGAGAGGTTTTGTAGAGTGCCCACTAACCATAAACGACACATTGGAAAGTTGAAAAACATTTTTTCATTAGGAGGTAAAGAAATGGAATGGCAATCTGCAGCCACGGGGAAAATACTTGCAATATTTACAGTGCATGCTTCTGAAATTGGACTTTTGTCCAGAATGTGTTAAGAACTCCTAAAATCAATAGGAGAATTATGAAAATCTCCTTAACAAATGGCAAAAGGTTTAGACAAGTTTTACAAAAGAATCGTCCAATATGCATATGAAAAGATATCTGGTACCATTATTCATCTGTGAAATGTAGATCAAAACTGCAAGGAAAAACTACTTCACACCCATGTCTATAAAGTTTAATCCCCACACCGTGTGTGTGTGTGTGTGTGTGTGTGTGTGTGTGTGTGTGTGTGTGTGTCACAGTTCCCCCCCTTTTCTTTCCTTCCTTCTTTCTCTTTCTTTCTTCCTTCCTTCCTTCCTTCCTTCCTTCCTTCGTCATGTTGAGGATTAAACCTAAGACTGCATATGTTAGACAAGTACTCTTCCACTGAATTTTATCACCAGAAGGGACATATTTTCAGTATGATGCCACAGGGTCTACCAGCTGGCACAATCGCTTTGGCAGACTCCTTATAAATATTTTCTGAAGGTGACTAGCCTGTGCCAAGTTGAAAAACAAAACAAAACAAAACAAAACAAACAAACGACCTAGCCAACAGAGTGGCCATGGCTCCAGGGAATTACCTGTCTCTGTCTCCAACTAGTATTGGGTTTATAGACAGAGTATGGTGTCTGTCCTTTTATGTGGGTGCTGGGGATCTGAATGAAGACCCTAATGCTTTTGTGGCAAGCACTTTATCCACTGAAGCATTTCTTTAACTCCCATTGTGAGATGTGTGTGTGTGTGTGTGTGTGTGTGTGTGTGTGTGTGTGTGTGTGTACATGGGTGTGTATGAGACCTCCCTCCCTCCCTCCCTTTTCTGTCTGTCTTAATCGGTATAGTTCTCCACAGTGAACTTTGGAGATGACAATGTCACATCCGGTTGTCAAAAGTTTGGACCCATCTGCTACAGGGAGGCAGCTACTGCCACTGTTACTTTGAAAACTCCTGTCGTTTTAAAATCATGCTGGTTAAATCATGCTCTTTCCAGGCAGGTATCAAGGGACCCCTGCCCCCCCCCCCCCCAAGGCCAATTTCTGCCCGACCCAGCCTTTCAGTCCAAAGTCTGGCAAAAATTGTGGCTGGAAATTGAAGAACGCTCAGGGCACCGCTGGTTTCCACAGAGTTAAGGAGCGCAGAGCTCCTGATAAAGGCTCATTCATCTCAGGGAGCTTCATGCTTGAAAGGCGCCGAGCGCCTGAAGAGAAATTGTGCAAACTGACATCACAATAAACAGGAGAAGCGTGTCTATAAAACCCCAGACAGGCGGCAATTTGGCCAGTGACATCAAGTCCCCCGGCTGCCAGGAAGTGAGTCTCAGTCATCCTGTGAAGGGATGCTTCAGACAGAGGGCTGGACAGTGAGGAGAGATCCGCGGAAGGCTCCCCCGCTCAGCAGGGCTTGCTACACTGGGGAGGGAGGGTCACAAGGCACCGCTGTACCAACAGTGTGCTACCCGCCTTACAGATGTGCAGAGTGAGGGCCAGGAACACATCTTCTGTTCGTTCACTGCCTCACTCATGTGATGTACAGTGAGTACATCCTAGGTTCTCAGTTCAATATTCCATTCTGAATATAAAACAAAAACCAGGCCTGCGTTCTGGCTTGCTCCTAAAAGATCTCCTATTATTTTAAAACAACTTTTCCCCCCCTCATTTGTAAAAGTAATTTTAGAAAGGTTATATTATCGGAAACGTATGGAAGCATGAAGGAGATTTAAAAACCACAGAAAAACTCACTTCCTGGAAACAGCCACTGCATATTTTATAACACTGCAGATAGAGTTCCATGTACCCACATGCCTAGCATTGGGAAGAGCCTGAAAGATGAAGCAATTTGCCCCAAAATGAAGGGGCTCTTGGTGGAGAATGAGGTGGGACTCCCCAGGAGAGAGTGCAGGAAGAAGGAAAGCCTAGAGGGGTGGTTCTCAACCTGTGGGTCACGACCCCCTTGGGATCAGACATTTACATTACAATTCATAACAGCAGCAAAATTACAGTTAGGAAGTAGTAAGAAAATTTTATGGCTGGGGGTCCCCACAGCATGAGGAACTGTGTTAAGGGGTCTCACCATCAGGTTGAGAACCACTGGCCTAGGGTAAAGGCAGAGGCTCAGGGTACAGAAAAGCACCCTGGGAGAAGGGGATGAGCAGGGAATGAGATGACTGTCATAGACCTCCTACCCTTCGGAGAGCTTGGGTTCCACCCTGCAGCATTTCTTACAGCAGAAAGGAGCTGAGGTGTACCAGCAATGCGTGTTACTAATGACTTTTCAAGTCTGACTGAATTATTTTGACTGCGAACCGCATCAGAGCAGATTCGAGGCTGCCACGATGCACTTCGGTCTCAGTTACAATGCATTCTGATAAGCTTCAATAGGGAGGT